CCGGGAAGGGGCCCCGCCGCTGCTCCTGCCGCTGCCGCTGCCGGGGCGGGGACGGGAGGTGTCTCCGCCAAGGAGGCGCCTTTCCAGGAGTTCTGAGGACCTCCTGCGCTCTCAGGAGTCAGAGTGGTGGGGGTGTTTAGTGAGAGGAGGGGTTGTGTCTGAAATCAAATTAGAAATTACGAAATTGCAGTTTTAATGACATTAGAAACAGCCGATCTCATTACTCTCTAGGCATACTGGTTACTATTTGTGAGTATGCGCTAAACTGAACTTCATCCTGGTGCTGGTATCGTCATATCAAACACGGAGCATAGTATAGCGAGTATTGTACACATTTAGCTTCGTTACTTCTATGTGAACAGCCTAAAAATGAAAAAACTTTAATAGACGAAAACCATGTAGTAAAGTAATAGCTGGCCTGTGTCTACCACAGTGCCGTGCACATTCTTGTTGTTTTATTCTTCTGTTAATGAATACGGTATTATTCACTTGGTTTTATAGGGATACCTGGAACCGAAATGCGGTAGAAAAGAGAAGACTGTGATTCACAGAGCTGTAAAAACGAGCCGGTGTCGCTTTCGCTCACACATCATGGAATAACTTTTTCCCCCTGTTGCATAGGTGTCAGGTGTCACACGGGATTGAGTGGTGTCAGCCCTTTTTCTTTCATGTTGGGACCGCAATGGCGATGAAAGAGGGAAAAAAAAAAATAATATCTTCCAGTGCTGGAACGTACTACCTTTGAAGCTGCAGGCAGCCACAGCAAGCTGGCTGTGGTCTGCACAGCGTGCTAATACCTACCCTCTGGAAAAGATGGAAAAGTGGTTGCTGCAGCTGCTGCTAGAAACGTCGTCACCTTGTGAATCCCATTTGTACACTCTGTTTAGACTAATCGTACAGATTTAAGGGTATTTGAAATATTTAAGGGTATTTGGAAGCTAGTTGTGGAAACCTTTACGTGTCTTTCCTAGATACTGTACCCTGGAATTACTTGCCATGGAAATACGTAAGCAAAAGTATCGGTGGAGTTCACATACTGCCTGTGCTTAACATGTTATCTGTCTACGAGATTTTGCATAAAGATAGGCAGTCACACTCAGGAATCTTAAATCCTTTCCCTTTGCTTTTTCCTGTGGCTGACATTTGAGAATTTATGTGGACACAGAATATAAATCAGCCTTAAAGGCAAAGTTTGTATGCTGGTTTTAAGAAATGTTTAAAAAAAATAGATGCATTTGTCATGCAGCCAGTTTCTGCAAAGATGCTGCTTATTCGGCAGTTTTATACTAGTGTTTTTGGTTTGATGACATAACACTTTTATCTATAATTATTTCCAGGTAATAAGTTTGATACAGGGGGTTAAATTGCTTGTGAATAATTGATAAATAGTATCTTATTGTAATACACCTGATAAACCAAGGTAAATATTTTTTTTGTCTCAGGCACATGTTAGTCTTCTAGGAACACAGACATTAAAAAAAATCTAAATGCTCCTCTATGTTGTTTCAGAGCAATGTATTAACAGACAACACTGGAAGCCAAGTAAGTCATCATCGGTAACTCCAAGACAAAAAGTATGCTGCTGTTGGTGCCAAAGTACAACTGAGGTGGTTTTAAATTTTCTTGCCACAACGTTTGTAATATTAGTTGTGAGAAGATACGTTTGTAAACAGCACAGAGCAGCACCAGGGAGCAGAGACAAGCACAAACCGTCTGTACGATCTTTCCTCAGCAAAGCACTACACAGCTACTGAAAGTTTCCTTTCCCAGCTTCTTGTACTTCTGATGGTCAGTGCTGGTTGTTGGTTTTTATTTTGCTTTTTCAGTCATGATCTAAGGACCTGTATTATATCTGGAACAGAAGTGACCAAGCTTGGAGACTTCAGAGAATCTCATCATTGCAATCCTGACAGCTGCTTTTAATTGCAGATAATGTGGCTGCATTTTAAAATAGAAAATTAGGACAAGCAGTTACATCACTTGCATTTACTATATCTTTTTGCCAGATGAGGCAGATAGGTTTTTTTAATTTTATACTATCCAAGAATGTCTTAGAAAGTTATAGATAAAAAACATATGGATATGCATAGAGCAGCTCCAAATTCCACCCAAGGAAATTATAGCAGTTATACAGTCAGCATTTAGTCACGTATTTGCTTGCAGTCTGAAGAGAGATAGAAAGAAGAAAAGCAGTGAAAGGAAACAGATAAGCCTAGGAAGGAAGAGGACAGCACCAGAGATCCAAAGCTCATTAAGGGAGAATCTGGTGTTTCCTTTTCCTAATATTAATAACTAGTGCTGCAAATTGATTTAGTGGAAACTGTAAATATGCTACTAGTGTTTTGGGTTCATCTTTAGCAATGCAGCCCAGGTTTTGATTATATAGTACAGGAACAGGATAAGGATACACAGAGTTAATACTTTAAGTCCAAGGAGTGAAGTTCTTAAATTCTTTGTTTTGGTCCCATTTGAGTTCAGCCCTCACTAAAAGTCTTCCAGTTCTGTTCTGGTCCAAGTTCAACAAAACTTCAGAGAGATGGTTTGGTTCTATTTCAGTTTTAAGGACAAATACATACATATATTTTAGATATATTTGAGCCAGTTTGGTGTCAACTCAAAGGCTCACTAACTGCTTAAATCTCAAAGCTAACCATGTAGATTAAAAAAGTATTTCCTGGACTTT